CAAGTTACCGGACCGATTTTTCAAGAGTTCTTACTGGCACAACTGGCTGGGATACGGCAACATCAACGTCTGAATGCATGGTGAACCTCTCTCAGACGTATCAGGTGAGCAAGTTGAAGAACCAACCGAGGACACGAGGTACACGTTTGCTACGCGGACTCTGCAGCTTCGGCAAGGCCTGGGTGGGAACGCGGAAGCTACGAGCAGATCTGGAGTTACCGCATGAAGATCACGGCTATGTCTCAGGTCGCTCCCGCGTTGGAGTCTCGGCAGTGGAAAATGTCCTGCAGCGGCGTCTTCGAGCAGCGAACCTGAGCCACATCACGACGAAGCACGACATGACGAATGCCTTCGCTAGTATGGATCACGAGCATTTCGATCAGACAGTCACAAACATGTACACGGCAGAGGACGCGCATATTATGATGTCACGGCACAGGCGTACGGCTTGTGTAGTGAATGCGCACGATGGCGAGGGCACCTTTCACAACAAAGTTGGCTGTTTGATGGGGGATTCCGATGCCGCGACGAAGTTCAGGAGGGCGTTCGAGCAGCCGACCCAGGAGTGGAGGAGGGCGCTGTTCCCGACCTCTGCGGTGCACGAGCTGACGGCAGGCTGCCCCATCACGCAGAAGACCTGCGACCTTGGGGTGCGCAAGTATGCCGGTGACCTCACTTGCACTCATGTGGTTACTGATGCGTGCAGCGCAGCGGTGATGGTCGAGATCTCTGATCGGCACCTCGATGCTGCGCTAGAGACTGTTGGACTGGCTCAGAAAAAAAGGAAGAAGAAACAAACAAACAAACAAACAAACAAACAAAAAAAAAAACGGCCAGCCCTTGCTTTGTAGGCCGGGGACCCCAACGTTCGACCAGAGCACTGCGCTACCATCGGGTGCCCATCTCTGGAGAAGTGCAGGCGAGGAGGCGCATTGGTTGGCGAGGGATGGGCAAGTTCTGGACTGTCTGCACGTTTTTCGATTGGAAAAAGGCTGGTCTTTCATAGTCGGGTGATTGGCGCCGCGGTCTCGGGCCTCGAGGCGAGAGTTCTGACCGTGGACCAGACAGAAGCTCGACTCGGTGGCTGTCCGCTACGCGAGTGCTCTGTGTCAGGGAATCGCCATCTATCGACAGCTGAACGAGGAGGGGGAGGAAGAGATGTGGAAGGTCACCACGACCTGCGCGGAAGCCGTCTGGAAGAAGATCAAGGCGGTGCCCCCCAGCGTGGAGATAGTCGCGCGTCGGCTTCGACACTATCGGGCTCTCGTCCGCAACCCGCGCCGCCACGCACAGGAGTTCGCTGCAATGATTGGGAAGGTTGCGTTTGAGAACACGGAGCCTCAACTGTTCGCATGGGCCCCAGTGTGGACCCCCACGGTGACCCCGACAGACAAAACCAGCCCTTGGGCCCTGCAGTTCAAGAATGACTTGCTCCTCTTGGGGAGGCTCGACGACGGGCTCGAGTTTCTGGGCGACGTAGGGTGCGACTTCCTGAGGGTCTTCCAGGACCCCGAGCTGAGTGGCAAGTTTCTGAAGTTCAACTTGAAACGCTTGAGGAAGCTCTGGTTAGAGGCCCCGACGGTGACCCCCATCAGGCATTACGAGGACCAGGAGTGCTTCGAGGGAGGGTATCTCTGTTCTCTTCTCAATGGCGACGGTCTGGGGTGCGGGAAGAGGTTTAGGGCAGTGCACGCACTACGGGCACACCAAACTCATAGTGGAGGGGGGGAGCACGGTCAGCTGAACACGTTCACCAAATGCACGATTGCCAATCAATGTCCGTCGTGTGCTTCAACGCTTGCGCGTCGTAGGACGGCGATGAATCGCATCGTTGCAGCGTGCCGCCACGGCAGATGCATGGCACAGAAGTCCACGTTCAACTTTCCTGTTGTCATCCCGCAGCAGTTTGTTTGCCCAGAGGAGGAGTGCGCACTCGAGTTTGGCACACTCGAAGATTTACAGCGACACATATCCTCGGCGCACCTTCCTCAGCCGACTCCGAACGTTGCTGTTGCAGGCGCCGCCCGCAGCAGAGGAGGGCCCCGCGCCCGCCCAGAAGCAACGACGCAGGGGGCAGCGAGGCTCTTCGGCACAGGTGGCAAACGGCGGCGGCGGGGGCCAGGGCCCGAAGAAGAAAGGCCCGAAGATCGTGCATCTCAGCGAACTCGACAACGAGACGTGCGATGTCAAGCAGATGCATAAGTTCTTCTCAGTCATGATGCGCCTCATCCTCAACCTGGCCATGCGGCAGAGTCAGACCGAGCCCATCGAGCTGAAGACTTTCCTGATGTCCTCAGGCGCGCAGGTGGCAGTGAAGGCGCGGGCTCGCGCCAGAGCGTGGATCAAGGCGGCGGAGGAGGCAAGAACGACGCTTGCCAAGGAAGACGCAGAGAAGAATATCAAGGAGATGGGCACGATCGTGGTGGCGTGCTATGCGGGGGTGTTCGAGGGCCTGGCAGCCGAGGGCAACGCAGTGGGCCGCACCAACCAGCAGCAGCTGGACGAGCTGAGCAAGCAGCTGAACCAGCTCACGCCTGTGGAGATGGGCGAGGCCGTGCCGCTCGCAAAGATCACCGACGCGCACGAGGACGGGAAGGTCAAGCTGGTGCTGAGCTTCACGTCGAGGCTCAACTTCGCGCCCGTGCTCGCGTCCCTGGTGCAGGCGTGAGCGGAGTACAAGCAGGGAACCGCACCCATGGGGCACCTCGAGCGATTGCTGCACACGGGGCTGCAGGAGTTCGAGAGCAGGATGCAGGAGTAGCAGTGGCCCATGACCGCCAACGCCCCCGAGAGGAGCCTGAGTGCAGGAGCCTGGAAGCACCTGAAGTGAAAAAACGACGGGTAGATATGCTGGTGAGAAGCCTCAGTCACGGTGCCAGCGGGCCGATCTCTCCCCCCCGCGTCCCTCTTCCTCCTGGTCCTCTGAGGCCTCTCCCTACCTCGATCCCGCTCACTCCTCGCAATCGAGTGCCATCGCACGAGTTTGGTTTTAAGGGCCAGGTGGTTGGTGGAGTGCCCGGCGTCCGCCGCCCCTCGAGCGCAGAACAGGGGGGCGATAAACGCGCGAAGATTTCTGTTGCCTCTACGGGCCTGGCTAAAAATCCCGGCCCCGAGGAGACCACTATGCCAGAAGTGATCAAGCGGGGCAAACCTGCCTCGCAGGGGTTTTCAGTGCAGTGGAGCAGCCACGATATGTCGGCTGCTCTTCGTTTGCTTCAGAGGGCACCGCGGCAACAGCAGGGCCCTTCCTCGTTGTGAGCCGCGAGGTGCACGGCCGCGCATCGCAAACTTAAGCTCGGGCGTAGCCCGATCCAAGGGGCAGCTGCAGGACGGGAGATTTCGCTGGCCCCCCATGGGTTCTGATCTGATCATCATCAACATCATCATCAGGTTCTTGGCTGTCGGGCGTCTCCGTGTTTCCTCGGCGGCTTTCCAGCCTCGGGGTGCTCTTTGGCGGCGCCTCGCCGAGAGCGCTTCGGGGGTGCTCGAGCTGTCCCGAACGGCCACAACATTCAGACCTCGGCGGCTTGCCCGGGGGGGCAGAATCCGGGGGCAGGCCTTCCCCGAAGGCGACCAGGCTTCTCGGAAGCCATCCGGCCTTCCGCGGAGCCGTATCTATATACGGAGACGTCTCACGGTCAGGCTTTTGCTCGGCGTGTCGTTCCGCCGGTTCTGGCCATCCACGCTTCGGCGCGGCACGCGAACCGCGCCACAGCCCCCGGGCGTCGATGTTTCAAGCATCTCCACGCCTTCCACCCCACGGAGCGACGCGCTCCTTGCAGGACATGGCGTAGGGCCGCCGCCGCGACACGTTAAGCGAACGGCCCTGATCGTAGATGGTCCCCCGGCAGATCCAGGCCTCCCAGATGGGGTCCGAGTAGATGGGGTCGGAGTTGGAGGATCGCGCCACATCGGCGATGCATCGGCAATGCATCGGCGACGCCAGCGATGCATCACAGCCATTGGCGTGGATGACAGCGGGCTCCGCATGGAGCCGCATCGCCGATGCATCGGCAGTGCGGTGCGATCCGAAGTCCCCGTCTGCTCGGACCGCATCCGGGAGGCCTCCCAGACGAGCGCAGGCCCCCCGAGCCTTCCGTTGGCAATTTTTGGCTGAGTTGCGAACCGCGGGCCTTGGCGGTTCGTGCTCGGGCGCAGCCAAGGGGCAGTCTCGAGCGCCCCAGGTTTCCATCGTTCGATCCCACTGCGAGCCACTCGGCGGTCGCGGTTTCAGACCAGGTCGAGAGACCTTGTCCCTCGGAGCAGCGCAGTGTCGGGCGGTGCTGGGTCCAAACTGTGCTCCTTGGACTCAGGAAGCCCCTTTTGTTGAGCTGCGCGAAATTCCACCAGGAAGGGCAACCTGGACCTTGCCATTCGAGTGCGCGTGCGGATGTGCAGCGCCCGTTGAGGTGGCACGTGCAGCGCGTAGGGCGCTTGAGATACCCGTCGCAGGTAATGTTGAGAGCCGAGCGCCAGGGCAGCCCCAATAAGGAAAGCTCGCAGCAGGAGATCATCAAGAGGCTTGAAGGCTTGAAAAATCCACCTCTTCAACTTCGAAGGTTCCTCCCTGGTCCCTGGCGCCACACGGCGACGCCAACAAGGAGACGTTGAAGATCCAGAAACCACGCCTGAACGGCACGCTCCAAAAGCTGAGTGATACATCGCAGGCAGGCTTCCTTCACATCGACCACACCCCCTTGTATGACTCAACCATTCGAAGGGCTCCAGGACCGCCCAACCGACACACTTCAAGTAGAGTTTGACAGCCTCACAATGACCCTTCACCTGAGTCCAGCGCTGGATCCCCAAGCACCCAAGCATGGCCATCTCCATGATGCTCTCAAGAATCCAGGGCTCCCAAAGCGCCTTCACGATGGCGACCACGGGTAAGCACGCATCCCCGAGCATAGGATGCAGACGCCCATGGCACAGTTACGTCAAAGCCATGCGAGGTTCCACCGCAACGAACGCCAGCGCTCTCGCAGGCTCCACACCAGCTCTACCCGCACGGGCCGCTGCCTTCCCTGCCGAACCTCTTACTTACGCGCATGACGATCGATGCGTTTCCCTGGCGCGAAATCAATCGACCCTCTGTCGAACTGCCTTCGCACAAGTGGTCCTCGCCAGCTCCAGAGCAACATTCGCACGAGCCTCGGGGCCATCAGGTAGCACCCTGGTCTGGTCAGCATGTGCAGGCCAGGCTCAGCCTGCATACTCTGAAGATCACTCGTCGCCTGGACCAGCTCGCGAGTGACACGGTCACGATCTCCTACGCGTTGCAACATGGTGTCGTCCACGACGACCATTGGCAGGACGGTCTTATGCAGATTCCAGATTCTACCTAGGGGCAGTATGAGCGCCATTTTGGGCAACGACGTAGCCCGCCCATCCCGTGGACGCATCGTTTGTTGCACCTCAGTTGACTCCGAAACCACAGATCTCAACGCCATATATCTGAGAGCCCTATAGAGTTCCACTGGGAGCCTCAGTTGCCACAGCGGGAACTCAGTCTGCACAGCCACCTGCAGACGCCAATGGTGCTGAGCCTGCTCGAAGGCCTTAGGCAGGTCAAACAGGACCTGCCCAGCACATCAGAGCCCCTTGTGAGTTCGGCGAGCCTCACAAGAGGTCCACTCCGACCACGCCGACTGCTGCCAAACTGCTCTACTGCAAGGCCTCCCAGCACATGCCCAGGAGTACAGTCGAGCATCTGATTCAGAAACCTTCTCCCGAAAGCGGTGTGCGTGCGTTTCTTAACCAACTTGCCAGACAACTGTCCCAGCCTCTTGAGCACGTTCGCCACTTCATCGCTAGAACGAAACGTTCACCCAGGCGTGGTTTGAGAAGCTTCCGGGACGCTGACCTATGCTTTTCAGATAGTAGGTTTCTTGATAATAGTTTCCGTTGTAAGGGCGCCCATTCGCCTTCTCCCACGCCAACGCGATCGCGCAGCTTGGCATGTAATCTCGCATGTACGTGAATCAACGAAAGTGGACGCACTCCACCTACGCGTTTCTGTAGCAACGTCACATTCGTACAACAAGGCGGCCACTGTACAGAGCTTCCCACTGCCATAACCATATCGATGGAACATTCGTTGGCGTCGTCGCCCAATTCGACCAGCTGCCGTGGCATTGTGGAGTCGAACACGACACCTGAAGATTTCTTGAACGTCTGCAAGACCTTACGGAGGTGCTCCACGCTTGGCCGAGACGGCCGTTCACCAAGATCCGCGGGCCAGCTTACCGTCTCATGCCACTTGCCCACCTAACACCACGTGGACCATTCGTCTGATGAAGATCCATGTTCCTTTGCTCATTACAGAAGGATGAGATTTCTCTGGATCAAGCTTTCTAGGATGCCACTCAACCTTTTTCCATCGCAGTCGCAACACAACACCCTCCAGTACCCGAACCAGCCTGAGACGTGACCCACGTGTGAACGTCATTCAACTTCGATGTCATGCCACGATTTGTTATGAAAATCCTGGAGGCCTCGCGCGGCGCGTAATAGTAGTAGGATCTAGTCCATTTGTCAGTTTCGTAAGCTATAGGTCGACGCCCGCGCGGTGATGCTCCAGAGTCAGTCCGATGTTGATCCAACATAAATCCGACGAAGTCCAACGTGAACCCGACGTATATCCGACGTGGATCCGACGTAATTCGGGACTCAAGTTGCCGCGCGAGGCCCCATGATTTCCTTCATAAGATCTGCAAACTCGGCCGCCATCTGCTCAACACTGCTAGCCGGTACCTCCAGAGCCTCCACCGTGAACCCCATCCACTGGTTCCAGCGAGGCGAGACGTCACCAGCGGCCGACATCCACGTCAGGAGAAGCAGAGACGTGCGCAGAAGCCTTGGCCTGCAGCTTGCTGGCAGCCTTGAGGGCACTCATGCGCGTGAGCGCCTGCTGTCCTCCCTCTGCCTCGTCCTCATCCTCCTCCCCCCCTTCTTTTCGCTCCTCCTCCTCCTCCTCCTTGTTCCTCCTCCTCCTCCTCCTCGTCCTCGCCTCCCCTGGGCGTGCCGCCTGCTCGAGAGGAGATGCGGGGCGCGGGGCGGGAGCTCGCCGCCCGCTTCGCAGGGGACGCCGTCGGGCAGGCCGCCCTTCCGCCGCCGCCGCTTGCGCTCTTCGACGTCGGCCGCGGAAGCGCAAGCGCGGACTGCGGGAGGAAACGACGACGACGACGACGACGACGACGACATAGGCGGCGCGCCTCGGGGGGTGCGCGCTGGGGCCCCCGTTACCGTTACCGATCCCCCCCCCTCCCCCCCCCTGGGTAAGATGCGGTATCGGCCAGGGACAAAAGAAGGGCCTCTTGGGTGCTGACATTTTTGCCTGGCCACCGGAGGGAGAGAGAGAGAGAGAGAGAGAGAGGAGGCGGCGACGAAGGGGCTCGACACTCGAGCTGCGGGGGCATCTCGCGCCGGGCCCCACGAGGTTCCCGCGGACGAGGCAGGGAGGAGGAGACGGGAAGGAAGAGGAGGAGGAGGAGGAGGAGGAGGAGGAGGAGGACGAGGCGGCGACGAAGGGGCAAGCGGAGGCCGACGCCAGGCGGGAGCGAGGGAGGCGAGCGACAGACGCACGACGAGGAGAGAGGGAGGAAGGCGCGCCGACGCGGCAAGACCGCCAGCGCGTCGCATCCGGCGAGAGGTGGGGAGCGGACGAGCACCCCTTTTGGTAGGTTCGGGCCGAACGAAAGGGGGGGATAGGGAAGGGGGGGGGGGTACGAAATTTGATGCGTGCAGCTGGTTTCGGCCCCGCCGCCAGTCCCATTCCTCGATACATGGGCGCCTCCTGGCGCCAGGAGGCGCTGGGAAAGTCAGCTACGGGAGCTGATGCTGTACCCTACCCTTTGCTATCCCCCCCTTTCGTTCCCCCCGACAGGTGGATCTCTCAAGCTCTCCGCCGCCTCTGGCGGTGTGCGTTGCGAGCAGGAACGCAGCAAAGCCAGGGGAAAGCGCGGCATTCACAGTGCAGCTCCGCACACGTGACATTCGTTAACGAGCAGTGACACAGCAAAGCCCCAGGAGAGCGAGGCATAGACAGTGTAGCTCAACATTCACACAGTGGTGGCTGGGGAGCCCCCGCCACGTGTCCACGAGCGTTGCTCCACCCCGGCGGGTGTGGAGAAAGGTGCGGCGGCTGGCATTCTTGGCCTAGCGTTAGGTCGGGCATGTCCTCCTACAGGCGGATGTTGGACGAAACGCAAAAGTATCCCGGCAAAGCAACCTAACAGCGATGTGTAGAAGCATATTTGGAAGCATTCCCCTTAAGATTTAGGTGAGAATCCAGTTGTAGAATTCTGCTGTTCTCGCAGTCGCAGCCTCAGCCTGCCTCGGCTTGCCTCGGCCTCAGCCTCAGCCTGCCTCAGCCTCAGGCCTCAGCCTCAGCCTCAGCCTCAGCCTCAGCCTCAGCCTCAGCCTCAGCCTGCATCAGCCTCAGCCTCAGCCTCAGCCTCAGCCTCAGCCACAGCCTCAGCCTCAGCCTCAGCCTCAGCCCTTCAGCCTCAGCCTCAGCCTGCCTTCAGCCTGCCTCAGCCTCAGCCTCTCAGCCTCAGCCTGCATCAGCCTCAGCCTCAGCCTGCATCAGCCTCAGCCTCAGCCTCAGCCGCAACTTGCCTCAGCCTCAGCCACAGCCTCAGCCTCAGCCGCAGCCGCAGCCTCAGCCTCAGCCTCAGCCTGCCTCAGCTTCAGCCTCAGCCTCAGCCTGCCTCGGCTTGCCTCAGCCTCAGCCTCAGCCTGCCTTGGCCTCAGCCTCAGCCTCAGCCTGCCTGAGCTCAGCATCAGCCTCTCAGCCTCAGCCTGCATCAGCCTCAGCCTCAGCCTCAGCCTGCCTCAGGCTCAGTCTTAGCCTGCCTCAGCCTCAGCCTGCCTCAGCCTCAGCCTCACAGTTGGCTCCGGGCAATCAAAATGTAGCCTGGGAATTGTGTTCTGGGAACACGAAGAACACGAAGTGGCCTACAGTTGGCTCCAGGCATTCAAAATGTGGCCCGGGAATGGTGTTCTGGGAACACGAAGAACACGAAGTGGCCTACAGTTGGCTCCAGGCATTCAAAATGTGGCCCGGGAATGGTGTTCTGGGAACACGAAGAACACGAAGTGGCCTACAGTTGGCTCCGGGCATTCAAAATGTGGCCCAGGAATGGTGTTCGGGGAACACGAAGAACACGAAGTGGCCTACAGTTGGCTCCGGGCATTCAAAATCATGCCCAGGAATGGAGTTCTGGGAACTCGAAGACCACGAAGTGTGCAACTGTTTGCTTAAAACGACTTCCGCGGCTTTTCCCCGGCACCCGCCCAGACCCCCCTGGGGAGTCAAGATGCTCTCTTTTGACACTACTAGAAACCTATCAGTCTTCGCTGTTAGGTAAAAATGTCAAACAATACCCCAAACAAGTCCAAACATAATCAACAAATCGAGACATATTATTTTTACTGTTTTGAACCGTCCTCCTGTAGAGGGACACGCCCGACTTAGGCTTCGCGTGCCGCTCCGCCAGCTCTGGCCAACCGCGCTGCGGAGCGACGCGCGCTGTCCGCGCTGCAGGCCCCGAGCGCCAAGGCCCCGAGCTCTCCCTGCAGGAGGACTCTTCAAACATAGTCAGGATAGTCTGGGCACGATTGTTTTTTGAGTCTTTTCTGACTTTTTGAATATTTTTGATGTTGAGTATTTTTGATTTTGAGTGTTTTTGATGTTTGGGTATTTTTTGTCCGTTTAGAGTATTTTTGATTCTTCGTCCGAACTCCCCCTGTAGGAGGACACGCCCGACCTAACCCCAGCCCCAAGCATTTCACGTCCAGAGCTTTTCCCGGCCCTCCGCCCCGCGGAGCGGAGCGACACGCTCTATCCGCTCTCGGGGCGTATAGGCTGTCGCCGGGGCAGCTGCCCCGACACGAGAAGCAGGAGCTCCCGACCGTGAGGCGCGTGGATCTGCCTGCGCTGGGCACACGCGCCGCTCCCGTACACCGGAGAAGGAAAACGGCACGAGCATATAAACTGTTTGCCGCTCCGCGCGGATTCCATGGATCCGCGATGAGGCCCCCCCTGGCGGCGCCTCCCGGCGCCGCCCCTGGCGCGCTCGGCGCGCCCAGGAGGGGGGTCCAGCGCAGATCCAAGACGCCCGCGCGGACCGTCGAAAGTTGCTGTTTACGTAGTCCAGGAGGGAGAGAAACACGCAGACACAAGGCATCGTCGACCCCCAGGAAAATATGGGAACATATGGGCAGTGGGGGGGGGAGACAACTATCCCAGAGCGACCCTACCTAGGAGTTGGAGCCCCTAGGAGAGCAATATTAGTAGTAACGGTAAACGCCGTCCTCCTCCTTCTCCTCATCGTCGCAGTTGTAGCAGTAGCGGTAGCAGTAGTGTTATGCTATGCTATGCTATCCTGCGCTATGCTATGCTATGCTATGCTGGGCTATGCTATGCTATGCTAGGCTATGATGTGGCATTATATGATTCGCTATGCTATGCTATGCTATGATATGTTGCGCTATGATATGATATGATATGCTGTGATGTGCTATGCAATGCTATGTTGCGCTGTGCTATGCTAAGCAATGCTATGTTGTGCTATGCGATGTCATGCTATGATATGCTATGCGATGCTATGCAGAGCTATGCTATGCTGTGCTATGCTATGCTATGCTTGGCGATGCTATGCTATGCTATGCTGTGCTCATGTTGCGCTGCGCTATGCTGCGCTAAGCTAAGCTAAGCTAAACTAAGCTAAGGTGTGTTAAGCTAAGCTAAGCTAAGCTAAGCTAGGCTAGGCGAAGCTAAGCTAAGCTAAACTAAGCCATGCTAAACTAAGCTAAGCCAAGCTAAGCTCAGCTAAGCTAAGCTAAGATGAGCTAGGCTACGCTTAGCTAAGCTAGGCTAGGCAAAGCTAAGCTAAGCTAAGCTAAGATGAGATAAGCTAAGCTAAGCTAAGCCAAGCTAAGCTAAGCCAAGCTAAGCTACGACGAGATAAGCTAAGCCAAGCTAAGGGGGCGCGACTGGGGGAACCGCGGGGCGGGGACTGGGGGAACCGCCCGGGGCGCTTTCCACTGCCCAGCCCCTTTAAGCTAGAGAGTAAGAACCCTTCTAGGCAGAGCCTAGGTAGGGAAAAAACCAGAAAATATGAGAAAATGTGGGGGGAATCCTGCTCTCTGTGTGTATTGATTTGTGTGTGCCAGGGCCCCCTCCGTAGCTCGTGCTTCTTCGGATGCAGAACCGGCGCGCTCCGTCGCTCACTCGGGCGGAGCTGGCGAGCTGGCCTCCTGTTTCGGGGATGCCTTCCCCTTGGCATCGCTCGGACGTGTGCATTTTTCCTTCGGCGAGGGCCATCGAGGAGCATTCTTGATCATTCGGCGAAAAAACCACGCACGAAACCGACAAAAAACACAGGGAATGGACGTCCGAGCGATGGCCAGTCCCCGATCGATGGGATCGGCGCCAACGCGCCAGGTCCACGTGGCCTCCACGGATCCGCTCCCCAAAACAAAGCAAAACAGACAGTCATCCTCTGTGGCGTGAGCCCGAGGGCGGCGGCGGCGGCGGCGGCTGCGGAGGGAGGAGCGGCTGCCGCAGGCACACCGACCGAGAAGTCGGCGCGCCAGCAGGTGCCCGGCGGACGTCGCTCGTCTCCCGATGGCCGCAGGGGCCCACGGCAGCCCTGGGGCACCCTGGGGCCCTCGGTGATCGACGGAAGCTGTGCCCCGAGAGTTCGCTTCCCGCGTCGCTACGGCCGCCTTCGCCCCGACATTCCCTGTCAGAGCACACCCTGGAACTCTGGGCTGCGGGCCCACGAAAAAGTATTACGAGACTCGATGCAGAGGACTCGCAGGGACCTGAGGACACTCCAACTCATGCCTCGAGGCACGGAGGCGGATGCGGTCAGAGTTTGAGCGTGAAGCCAATTTGAGTATAATTCGGGTTTGCTCTGCTGTAGCTGACCTCAACTCACACAAGTGTGGCTCAGCTCGGCTTGGCCCACTTGGCCCAATTAGCGTAGCATTGCGTAGCCAATGCAGCTTGACTTAGGCTGGCTGGATGTAACCTTTGCTTTGATATTGGGTCTGCTTCCGCATTACCTTTGCAATTGTCCTTGACATCCAATGTGGTTTACTGAAATCCCGTCTCCGCAACAGCAGGGCAAGGGGTCGGGTGAGCAGGTCATCGTCATCACGTGGGGCGTTCCAAAAAATGGCCGTGCCTTCCAACATCGAAAGAGTTGTCATCCGCCGCGGAAGGCGGCGGAAGGTCCGCGGCAGTAAAACGAGGCCGCCTCCGCCAGCGGAAGCCGGCGGAAGGGCGGCGGAGGGTGGCGGAAGTAGTTAGAGATGAACGCGTTTTTGGGTTCAGGGTTTCCGTAGTCTGCCACGTGTGACGGCAGCAGCTTGCTTCGGATCCCAGGCGAAGGAGGCTTGCAGGATGGCGGCGGACCTCCTCGATCAGCTGGCGCCCGCGATGGCGCAGGTCTCCGCCCTCGCGCTCCACCGCGACGCCCACGCGAGGAGGGCGTCTCTGTTTGTGCGGCCAGTGCCGCCAGGAGAAACCTGCCCTCTCTGCGGGTGCACCCCCCCCCAGGAGCCATTTCGATTCGATTGATCCGATTCGACTCGGACCAAAACGAATCTGCAACCCCACCGATCCGGCTCAGCTTTCGGGTCCGGCTTTTTCAGATCTGGCTGGCAGAGGGCAGGTTCAATCGCGATGCCCACGCGAGGAGTGCGTCTGTTTGTGCGCTGGGGCCGTCAGGGGAAGCCGACCGTCCCTGCGGGTGCACCTCCCTGAATCTATGTCTGTATACTGGTCCCCTGTATGCGTATACCCGTCTTCCCCCCTTTGGCCAGGACACGCCGCCCCAACACGTCCGTAGCCTGTTTGGGCTCAAAGATCCAAGCATTCTTCAGGGTCACGGCCACGGGCCGTCTCGTGGCCGCGAGGCCTTCTCCGAGGGCCGCCATCCGCCCTCCTCGCGCTCCTGGCGGCAGCACCTGGAGGCGAGGGTCGCTGGCCTGACTCGTGGCAGGCGCGGGGCTGGATGGCCCAGGCGGCTGTCGAGGACCTCGACGGTGGAGACGAGGACCTCTGGGAGGCGCCGGAGGCCGTCGTGCCCGCGCCCGTGAAGGACGGACCCGTGCCGATCGTCCCACTGGCGGTGGCCCAGGGCAGATGCTACTGCAGCACGGGCTACACTGCGGGCGGCCTCGAGCAGTGCCGGTTCGCGTGGCGGGCGCTGCGTGTCTCCAGCGCAGAGCCGCCGTCGCGCTTCGTGAAGGCCGAGTTCCTCTTCAGCGACGACGGCTACTGGGACTGGTGGGCCAGCCACCCCGGCCAGCCGAACGCGATGACGGTGCGCCCGCTCATCCACGCGTGCTCGGAGAACCCGTGCTCAGTCTTGGAGGGGCCGGGGACGTGCACCGAGCTGATCCACGTGTCGGACGGGGCGGAGCTCGGCCTCGGGGACCTGCGGGCGCTGTTCGTCGAGTGCCAGGAGACGAACCCCGAGGCGGCTTGGCCAGCAGCAAGCCTCGGGCCGCTGGTCGCCGCCGCCGCCCCCGCGAGGCCCGCTGCGGTGGCCAAAGCGGCGGGCCGCCCACCAGCCGCAGCAGGCCCCCCCAGGGCCCCGCCTGGCGCTGCCCCTTTCGACGACTTCCTGAGCGTGAGAGGCTCGTCGCGCGGGCCTGGCTCAGAGCTGGCCGCAGGCGAGGAGGCAGCTGCCGCGGGCGGCCTGGGAGGCAAGCTCGAGGGTGCTCGCGTGCGCTTCGAGGAGGGGAAGCGTGCTGCTGGCGACGTCAACCTGGACGGCTTCCCCCTCGGCGCAGAGGCGGCTGGCGAGGGGCCTGTGAAGAAGCGGTCGCTCGGAGACCTGCTGGTCGAGCGCGCCGCGAAGCTCAAGAGGGCCGCCTCGGACGCGGCCCCCCGAGGGTCAGGAGACCCCGTGCCCGATCGGGCGCTGCCGGGAGCTGGTCCGAGTGGCGGCATGGCGGAGCTGGCGCAGGCGCTCGTGATGGCCATCCGCGAGGGCAAGGAGGGTCCCCCTGGCGACGGCGGCGGGGACGGCCTCGGCTCCTCGGACCCCGCGGCGGTGCCGCGCGACCTGGCCACGAAGAGGGCCTTCTGTCGTCGGATGGCCGCCGCCTCCCCAGGCCGCCTCACGGAGCTGAGCCTGCAGCAGATGGCGGACTTCCTGGGCTCGCAGGAGGGGGAGGCAGCCGTCGACGCGACGGGCCCGATCGCGCTGCGGTACCTCCTCACGATCTACCTGCCGCAGCATCCGGTGAAGGAGATCGGCGCGCAGACATACCGCGAGCTCCGCACCCTCGCGGAGGCGGTGGACCTGCTGATGCAAGGGAAGGCGGCCCACGCCTGCGACCTGATCGTCCAGCGCCTGAAGGCGCTGCAGGTGGCAACGACGGATGGCTCGTGGGCGGCGGCGAAGTGGTTGGAGCTGATCCCGCCGCGCGACGAGCCCACGGCCATCCGCAGCGAGGAGGAGGAGCTCATCCGCAGCATCCAGCTCGGGGAGATGAAGCTGGACGAGCTCTCCGCGCGGCTGGCCTCCGCCAAGACGCCGGGATAGGGCGGAGGCCCGACGGGGGCGCGCCCGCCGCTGGCGCCTCCGTCTGTTGACCAGGCAGGGGGGGCACCCCCTGCGACAGCGCAGGCGAAGGGACCTGGGGGGCAGGCCCCCCACCAGCCGCGGGCTCGGCCGCCCCACAGGAAGGCTTCCGCGGCGGCTCCACCAGCCCCCCTGGCGGCGGCCGCGGGCGGGCCTCCCCCGCAGGCCGAGGGGTCGGCAGCCCCGCCGCCGTGGAAGATGACCTTCGCGGAGATGCGGAAGAAGTTTCCGAAGCAGCCGGGGGAGACGAACACCCAGCACCGCCTGCGAGCCTTCAAAGCTCGTGCGGCGGCGCGCCCTCGTCGGACCTGAGCGGCGGCACCCTGCCGCCTGCCCCGCGCTATGGTGGAGCCTCCTCAGGGAGGGTGGCCGATGCCTCCATCAAAGGCGCGAGCCCTGTGAAGGGCGCTGGTGGGGGAGTCCGCGGCGTGGGCCAGACTCGGTTTACCGAGGGCGGAGATCGTGCCACCCTAGGCGGGGGGGTGAGGGCGTCGCGGGGCCCCCGCTGGCCACCGCGCTGCAGTGCTGGTCCGACGAGCTCTCCTTCGGCTTCGGCAAGAGCATCGTCGCGGTCGACCTGGCGGCGCGGCTGGTGGCAGCAGTGCGACGCCACCCAGGCAGCCTTGGCCACTTCGCTCGGTCGTTCAGCATGCGTGCGGACACATTTTGTGGGAGCGGAGGGTCCTCGAACAGGAGGGTTCGGGACGCCCTGCCGCTTCCCCTTCCGTCGACCGAGGAGGTGGACCGCTGGCTGGCCCACAGTGCCTTGCCCAAGGCACGCAGGTGCCGCCGCCGCGCCGTGGCGCGGGAGGTCAGCGAGCAGGCGTGGCTGCACTTCAGTGTGGTGGCGCTCAACTACGCGTTCTGCGGCCGCGCGCAGGAAGGCTGGCGCCACAGGCCGACCCTGTCGAAGGCGCAGACGCAGGTCTACGTGCACCTGAAGAGTCGAGCGGCGGCCCTGGCGGAGGACCCGCTGGCCATGGTCGTGGCCCCCGCGATCGACGAGCTGGCGGGCGGCTGGGGGTCAGCGTACGAGGGCGAGACGGGCGTGAAGGCCCTCCCCTGCCGGCTCTGCGAGCTGGCCCCTGGGCTGCCCGCGCGGGAGTGCGCTGCCACGCTCGACGCGATCGACTTCGTTGACGACGAGGTCGGCGCCTGGCTACGCCGCCCCGAGCTGGCGCTCCTCGACCAATCCGACTGGCCCGACCCGCTGCCGCGGGCCCGCGTGAACGTGGAGACGGATGCGGACTGGGAGGAGCTGGCGCTGCACCTCGCGTCGCTCGGCATCTTCACCACGCTCGCGGAGAGCGAGCTGGTCCGCGTGAGGGGCGAGCCCGTGCTGAACGGCCTGTTCGCGGTGGAGAAGAAGGGCACTCCAGCGCCTGGCGCCACGCGGGTCACCAGGCTCATCCTCAACATGGTGCCAGGCAACTCGCTCCTGAAGGCCCACGTGGGCGAGGCGGCGCTGCTCGCGGCCTCGACGTCCTGGACGTCGGTCGTGATCCCCGAGGGGGAGCTGCTGCTGTGGTCGGGCGACGACCAGAAGGGGGCCTTCTTCGTGTGGCGGGTCCCGCCCGCGTGGCACCCCTACATGGCCGTGGGGCGGCCGCTCGCGGGCGAGCTGTTTGGTCGCTCGGAGCCCGTCGTCTACGTGACCTCGGCTGTCATCGCCATGGGCTGGTCGCTCGCGGTGCCCGTTTTCCAGCACATCCACCGACGACTGTGCCGCCTGGCGCCGCCCCTCGGGGCGGGGCTTCCCTCGGACGGGGAGTGGCGCAAGGATTGCGCGCGGCCCCTGGTCGAGGCAGGCAGCGGCCAGGACGCTGGCTTGTGGCAGGTTTACATCGACGACTTCGATGCGCCGGAGATCGTCGAGGAGGTTCTGGCCCGCAAGCTCGCGGGGGCCCCGAGCGACCTCCAACTGCAGGTCCGCGCCAGCTACGAGAAGGCAAGCGTCTCCTTCTCGGCCGAGAAGGCGCACTGCAGGCAGCTGAGGGTCGAGCGCATGGGCGCGGACGTCGACGGCGTCAGCGGGCGCCTCGCGGTCCCCGCTGCCAAGGCGCTGGCCACTGCGGGCCTCTGCTTGGCCGCGGTGCAGCGGCGTCTGGTCCCGTGGCGCGTGGCCATGGCGGCCCTCGGCAAGCTCGTGAGGGCCTTCGAGTTCAGGCGGCCGCTTTTCGGGGTCCTGAACTCCGTCTGGACGCTGGCTGCGTCCTCAGCGCAGGGGGCTTACCTGGACGCAGAGATGGTGGAAGAGCTCCTCATGGGCGTGATGGTCCTGCCGCTGGCCGCCTCCTCGCTGCGGGCGCGCATCGACGGCATGGTCACGTCCTCGGACGCGTCGGAGATGGGCGGCGGCGTGTGCACGTCAGCTGGCCTGCGCGAGGACGTCGCCGCCGCCTTGCAGGTGCCGAGGACGGTCCCCGACCAGCTGGGGATAGGGGCCAGGCTCCTCAACATGCCCGAGGACCCCGCCCGACCGTGGGCGGCAGCCAACCCACGCGTCCCCGCCAGGGCAGTCCGCAGGGTGCTGTCGGTGTTGCTCATCGGCCTGTTCGACGGCATCGGAGGCCTCGCCGTCGCCTTCTCGAGGCTGCCCGTCCGCATCGCGGCCTTCGTCGCGGCCGAGACGGACGCCAAGGCGAGGCGCGTTGTCAGACTCCGCTGGCCAGGTGTCATCGACTGGGGCGACGTCACCCGTGTGGGCAGCGAGACGGTGCGGGATTTGTTCGAGGCGTTCGGCGGCCTCGTCGACCTGGTGGTGGTCGCAGCGGGCAGCCCCTGCCAGGACCTCTCACGCCTCAACGTCGGCGGGCGCGGCCTCAGCGGCAGGAAGTCCTCGCTGTTCCACGAGGTGCCACGCATCCTGGCTCTCCTCGCCGCCGTCTTCAAGGACAGGCTCGTTTGGTTCGTGGAGAACGTGGCCAGCATGTCCGACGCCAACGTGGAGCTGATCTTGGAGGCGCTGCAGGTGAGGCCGACGCTGGTGTGCTCGTCGGTGTTCGTGCCGTGTCGCAGGCCGCGCCTGTTCTGGACGAGCTGGGGCGTCACCGCATCGGCGCCTCTTCGGCTGACCGACCGCGGGGTCTACGACGAGCTTGTGGGCCCTGGCGTCCCGCTCATGGACCTCGCGTGGGAGGACGAGGGCTGCTCTTGGCCAGGGAGACCAAGGTGCTTCCCCACGCTCGTCTGCTGCAGGCCTCAGCCCTCCTTCCCCTCTGCCCCGCGTGGCTTCGCGGCTGCGTCGGAGACGGCTCGTCAAAGGTGGGCTGCGGACGGGCACAGGTATCATGTGGCTTTATACGAGGACAAAAACATGATCTGCATCCCCTCGTTCCCTTTCCTGCGCCTCCCCACCAGCGAGGAGAGGGAGCGGCTCCTTGGCTTTGATGTGGGGTACACCTCCCTAGCCACCAAGGGCTCGAACCCTCAGGGCGCCTCCGACGCCAGGGCCTTCCTCCTCGGCAACAGCTTCAGTATCCACGTCGTGGCATGGCTGCGCCAGCAGCTCCTGCACCGCCGCGGCGCGCTGAACAGGGAGCTGTCGATAGAGGAGGTGTCCCCCGTCCGCGTGTGCCGGGCGACGCGGGACCAGGCGGGGGCCTTCGTCACGGAGCCAGGAGAGCGGGACACCGCGGAGGCGAGGCAGCTGGTCCTGCATTACCTCAGCCGCGCGGAGAAGGGCGGGTCGGACGTCAGGCTGGACTACGGCGCCCCCTACCGCCCGCGAGGTTGGCCGAGGACGAGCCTGGGCCCGTTCGTGTGGAAGTGGCGCGTGGTGGTCAGCATGGCGTGGCCTGGCCGGAGCTCCACCCACATAAACGTGAGAGAGTTGCAGGCAGCCACGGCGGCGATCAGGTGGCGCGCCCGCAAGGTCGCGCAGCACGGGAGCAGGTTCTTGCACCTCGTCGACAGCCAGGTGGTCGCGGCCATCGTGACGAAGGGCCGCAGCAGCAGCAGGAAGTTGCAGCCCATCCTGAGGCGCTGGATGGCCGTCGTCGTGGCGGCCGACATGTACCCACTGATCGGCTACGTGGTCTCAGAGGACAACCCTGCGGACGAGCCGTCGAGGAGACTGCTGTGGCGTGGCTCGAAGCCCAGGAGGCGAGGGCGACCCGTGCCGCGCGCGCGGCCGCTCACCGCAGGCCCGCTCCCGTGAGACGCCGCGGGACGCGCTGCCAGACTCTCTCTTCCCTGAGGGTGTCAGCGGAGACGCGGCGGCGCTACGGGCGGGCCCTGCGCGCGCTGCTGGCCCACTTTGGGGCCGAGCAGGCGGGGGCGGACGCCTTGCGCGGCGACCCCGAGGACGCAGACGCCCTCGTCGCGGAGTACCTCGAAGGCCTGTGGGCCTCTGGTGCGGGCATCGCGGCCGCCAACAGCACGCTGGCGGGGGTGTGCTTCGCGGTGCCTCGTCTGCGGCGACACCTCGACCTGAGCTGGACTCTCCTCAAGGCATGGAGGCATCATGAGCCAGCGTCCAGGGTGCTGCCGCTCACGACCGAGGCCGTCGCGGCCATGGCAGGTTTCGCGTGCGCTGCAGGTGCTTTCGACGTGGCCGCCCTTCTTCTCGTCGGCTTCGAGGGCATGCTCCGAGGCGCAGAGGTGTTTGCCCTGACGGCGGGCGACATCGTCGACCGCGGCGAGCTGTTCATAGTCCGCATCAGCTCGTCCAAGACCACGGCGGGCAAGGACTGCGCGGAGGCAGTCGTCGTCCGCAGCAGGATGGCCGTGGCGCTCCTGCGGATTGCAGACTCAGTGCGCGCCCAGCCCGGGAGCGAGGCAGCCCGCGCCGTTGCGCGGGGACTGCGGCTCCTGCAGCTGGCCACTGTAAAAGGCCACTGCTCGCGCCCAACAGTGCTTGCCGAAAATCGGGCGTTTGCCTTCGCTTCGGCAAAGGCAACCGCCCTCCCGCCGTGGGGCCGCGTGGCCCTCTCTCTCTCTCTCTGGGTCTGGTTTCCGGGGTCCCCTGGGTCCGCCCGTTGTGTGGGGCGTTCTCTGTTTGGGGTCCACGCCCGTCTCGCCTTCTCCGTGCATCGTTTCACCTCCTCCCGTCGCCTCCCCCCGTCACCTCCTCCTCGTGTGGAGTGTAAGGGCTGGAGAAGGGCGTGGAGTAGGGGGGTGTGCTGGAAGGGCCAAACCAAGGGGCTGTGGTGGGATGTCTGGCACGCGTGGGGCCGCCCTGTGCGGTGCCTCCCCCACGTCAGGCCTGTGGCCTGGCGCGGGTTGCGTGTCCAGACCCCCCCTCGCAGTCCTGTGGCTTGCCCCCCCGCACACCCCCGAATTAAGGGCCGGCATAAATATGCCATTTGCAGGGGGGGTTGGGAGTTAAACACGGACGGCCTACGTAGCCTTAAGGCCAGTAGGTGGGGGAATTAGATAGCGTAGGCCCCCTCCCCAGATTGCTGTATGCGAACGGTGGAGGACCACCTCGCACGCCTTAGGTGGCAAGCGCGCGGTGCGGTAGGCGCCGCGTGCTTGCCGTCTAGGTAATGCGTGGCGTAGGGTACCCTTGCATCCCGGCGCGTACAGTAGCTGGGGGGTTTGAGGGGGGCTGGCCTACTCTGACCATTGGCGTGTCCGCACGCAAAAAGGTGGGGCAGGGTATGTCTGTATACTGGTCCCCTGTATGCGTATACCCGTCTTCCCCCCTTTGGCCAGGACACGCCGCCCCAACACGTCCGTAGCCTGTTTGGGCTCCCACCCGCGGTCCACCCCTTCCGTGTTGAGGCACGCTTTCTGCTGGTGCCGTAGCCCAGAAGATAGCGTAGGCCCCCTCCCCAGATTGCTGTATGCGAACGGTGGAGGACCACCTCGCACGCCTTAGGTGGCAAGCGCGCGGTGCGGTAGGCGCCGCGTGCTTGCCGTCTAGGTAATGCGTGGCGTAGGGTACCCTTGCATCCCGGCGCGTACAGTAGCTGGGGGGTTTGAGGGGGGCTGGCCTACTCTGACCATTGGCGTGTCCGCACGCAAAAAGGTGGGGCAGGGTATATATATATGTATACACATATATACATCTATATAATTATATATACGACATATAGATATATATGCGAATTGTAGGTCTCATGGTACCAACATCGCAAAGCGGATTTCGCTCGGAAAACATTGGAATGGGCTCTGATTGTCCTGGAGAGTTTCGTTCTGGATTTCGAAGTGAATTTCGTGCGGATTATTTGGTGCCAGGAATGAAGACTACAAACATCCACGTGAAAGTCACTTCGGTTTTCGCTCACCGTTTCGGGGTTTAGCATGGACAGAAATCCACGCAAAATCCGTTGCAGCACGTCTGCAAGGTCGGTGCATTGATAGGTTGGTGGCCACCTCGAAAAACTGACGGCGGCTCCAACACGTATCCCGCACGACTTTTGTTGTTGGCATGGGATGTGTTGTGCGTAGGGTCATCGGTTGCACATGCGAATGATGCGCGCATTATTTGCGCTGCGCTGCGCTGCAACGCATTTCTTTTGTCACCGTGGCGCCAGGCCCTTCTGCCATGTGCACACTGAGGGGAATGAGAACACACTCGTGAGAACAGCGATCGCACGGAGCTCTCACGCAAGCCGAATGGATCAGAATTCCAATCCATATCGCGCGAGTCACACGATTGGGTTAGAAGTGTGTTTTCTGCAAGGGCAGCGTGAAGAGCTCACGTGGAGGCTTAGGTATTGACAGTAATTTCGCGACCCGCTGGCCATTGGTAAGATGAGTGGTGGTCTCTTCGGTTCCCACCATCGCCGAAGGTCGAACTTCGTTCCCCCGCTACGCTGAGCGACAGACAGTTCATATGTGAGAGACGGAAGCGGGCAGGAGAAAACCCAACCATCTTGCACGTTGGACCGAAGCTTGGCATTCCCGTGCGTCCTATAGTGGCAGACAGGAACCAGAGGCATAGGCATAAAGAGTGGAGGGGGAGGAGGAGGAGAAGGAGGAGGAGGATAAGGAGACGACGATGATGGGCGCATGCAGCAATATACAAGGCGGCCTTCAGCAACATTCTTGTGGAGGCCGCCGGGCTCTTCAATCCATGCGGTAAGTCCTGACTTCCGCCTATCGGCTTGGGACCCGTTGGCATCATTGCTGGGTAAGCCGGCAGAGCGGGGTGGTTTCAGCGCTTGGCCACCGACAGGTTCCAGCGAGGGCCTCTGCCCGCCCTCTGCTCTTTGCCCCCCAGGCCACGGGAAAGGGGCGATGCGTCTCTGTTGCGAGGGGCCCCGCTGGCCCCCCCCGCAGGTGTCGCTGCCTGGTGCTTGGCTCGTCGAGTGTCCAGCGCTTGGAGCCGACACCGTGCAGTGGAGGCGCTGACGAAGGAACTGTTCTCGTCGGGCAGGGGCTCGGCGCTCCTTGGTTGTTTTTTACAGGCTGCCTCGGGTGTTCCTTAGGCGTTCGATGAGACATCGAAGCTGAACTTGGGGAGGAAAGGGGCCTCGTTCCTTATTTGGGGTTCCTTGGGTCAGCGCCCCAACTGTGGTGCCCGTTGTCGCCCCCCGCCCAGCACCTTGGCAGGTCTGCCCGTCCGGTGCAGCGCTGGGCCGCAGCCTGCTCCCCGCGAAGTGTCTGCATGGATGGGGCCCTTCCCTGCTCGGCTCCCCCCTTGCCCACACAGACACAATGAATCGTCGATCCCGAGGAAAACATGGGGGAAACTACGGGCAGTGGGGGGGAAGACGAACACCCAGAAAGCATGGGGGAATATGGGGGATCCTGTTATCTGTGTATACTTCTTTGTGTGCCCCTGGGCCCCTTTATGGTAGGCCTGCCCTTTGTGGGCCCCGGAAACGGCAGGGCCGTTTTTTTACCGTTTCCGAAAAATGTCCCTCGAAAATGGAAACGGCAAAAAAACTGCAACCGGAAACGGCTAAAAAACGGTTCCAGGATTGGACCCGGAGCCGAAGCCGGTCAACAAACGGCGACGGAACAGGTAAAACAGCAAAACGGAACCAATAAAAGAACGGCCCTGTCGTTTCCAGGGCCCACAAAGGGCCTGCCCGTCCAGTGCAGCGCTGGGCCGCAGCCTGCTCCCCGCGAAGTGTCTGAAGAAGTGCATGGAGGGGGTCTTTCCCTGCTCGCCTCCCCCCTTGGCGCAGGCGCGCAAGCGCCTCAACGGTCGGAGCGTGCTCTGCCGCCCGCGGCCTCCTCCTCCTCCTCCTCAGCCTCCTTCCCCTCCTCCTCCTCCTCCTCCTCCTCCTCCTCCTCCTCCCCTCCTCCTCCTCCTCCCTCCTCTCCTCCTCATCCTCCCTCCTCCCCCCCTCCTCCTCCTCCTCCTCCTCCCTCCCTCCTCCTTTCCCCTCCTCCTTCCCCCTCCTCCTCCTCCTCCTCCTCCTCCTTCTCCTCCTCCTCCTCCTCTCCTTCTCCTCCGTCTCCTCCTTCTTCTTCCCCCCCCTCCTCCTCCTCCTCCTCCTCCTCCTCCTCCTCCTCCCCCTCCTCCTCCTCCTCCTCCTCCTTCCCCCCCTCCTCCCCCTCCTCCTCGTGCTCCTCCTCCCGCTCCCGCTCTTCCCGCTGCCGCTCCTGCCCCTGCTGTGCCAACTTTGGCCCCGGAGCGTTCCTCGCCTCGCCCGCCTCGGCCGCGGCTTGGACCCACGTCGCCGCGGCAAGAGAGCTCGGCTCTCTCCACATCCGCGCCCACGGGGTCCCAACGGGGCCCCCGAAGCCACGTCTGTCCGTCCAGCGGCCTGCCCGCGGAGGTGCTGTCATGCCCGTTCCTGGGGGGGGGGGGTCCCCGCAGCTTCGGTGGGGCATTGACAGATGAATGTGGCACGGGGGGTTGCTCATTTCTTCCGAGGCCTGGCGATGTAGGTAAAACGTCGACGGCGATGTAGGTAAACCGTCGATGTAGGTTTCGGTATTGCGGGAACGCATGGCCGCGTGCTTTCCTACAATTCGTTGTGTCCTGTTCGCTCGATCCATTCGCAGATCGGACACGTAGGACAGGGTGGTCCGTGATTTCTTACACTCTGGTTCCCAGCACCATCGTCAAGCAACATCGTTGTTAGCCCGGCCTTGGTGTATCCCGTACAGTCAAGGCGCTGAAATAAGGAACAGTTTGGGTTTGGAAGGGGCTCGATGTTCCTTAGGTTCTTCCAGTGTCGTTCCTCTTGCCCTCCTTGGGCACGGAGGCGCTTACAGGGCCAAGAAGGGCTTCGTTCCTTATTTAGCGTTCTTTATTTCAGCGGCCCCACTGTATGGCCATCCATGGTGTCCCAGTCACGGGCTCCCACCCCACAGCCCTCGGTAGCAAGTCATGGGAGCCTGGTCTGTCCTCGGAACTCCTGTCCTGAGAGTGCACACTGCGGTAGGGGGGAAGCAATTGGTGGGCACTCCCCCGCTCCCCCAAACTCAAAGTTCAGGAGGGGAAACAAACACACAGACACACTTAATCGTCGATTCCCAGAAAAGATGGGAAAATATGGGAAGTGGGGGGGAGGACAGAAACCCAGACAATATGGGAAAAGATTGGGAATCTGGTTATTTGTGTCTATCTATTTGTGTGTCCCAGTTTCGCTTCAAAAGGTGGCACGCGCGGGAGAGACTGCGGTCGAAGTCATCAGGCCCACCGCCAAATTTGAACATTGCGGGGACGGGGAGGCGTTGACCGAGGGATGTGGCATGCGTGCTCACTGTTTTGTTCCGAGGCCTGTGGCGTGCGCTAGCGTCCAGTAATCGATGAGAGAGCTCCGACGTAGCGTCGATTAGCGTCGATGTGGCGTCGATTACCGTCGATGAGCGTCGATTCGGAAGCGCCAGCATGATGGCATGGGAGGCTCCCACGAGTTGCCACCGAAACAGGCTCCCAGTCACCGAAGAAAAAAATCTGCACAAGCACAAACTTCCGGACGTCCGGCGCCGACTCAAGAAATCCAGCGACCTCCGACGGCTTATGTTTCTGATTCATGCGTCTTCTTAGCCATGGGGCCCCAACCATCGAGTTCCGCCCCATCTCTGCGGCGAGCGAGGGGGGGAGATGAGAAGGAGAAGGCCTTCTCAGAAGGCGGCGGGACTTCTCAGAAGCCCTCGCGCCTTCCGAGAAGTCTTTTTTGTATTCGAGGAAGGCTTGGACAACTTCTCAGAAGGCCGGGGGGCTTCCAAGCCTTCTGAGAAGGCCTTCTCCTTCTCACTTCCCCCACCCGCTCGCCGACGACCATCGATTCCGAGAGAGTTCTACCGAGAGGGTCCCGCCGATTGGACCCGTGCAAGGTCTGCACTCCACAGATTTCTTTCTCTTGGAGAACAGATTTCGACTCCCACCCCGAGGCCGCAGTGATCGGTGACCAGTCCCCCTCCGCGTATGTCGCAGTAATCTTCATGATGCATGGTTGCACATCCTAGATTGTAGACACCAGAGCCCAGTCAAACTGGTATCGCCTCTGACATATTCCACATCAGCGCGGTGCACATGCGTTGATCTAAGACGTGCTTGTCGTAGCAGCTTCCTGTTTGAAGGAACTCCTTGCGGGCCATGTTCGCGGCCTCCCCGCGCGCATGTCCAATCCATGGGTAAACACACGGGGTCCGTTTCACGCGCACCTGAGAAGCCATGGGTAGCCCATTGTCCTTGTCATCTTGCCAAGCGAGACCATGCAGGCCACGCGCGCGCGTTTCGAACATATGCGACAGCCATCGCGCACCCACAAGCTCTGTCGAGGAATACCGTGCGGGCCATACGCGCGCATTTCCGCGCGCGCACGTGGAAATATGTGCAACACCAGTCGTGATCTCAGTAGATCAAAAGATCGTTCAAGCACATACGATAATTCGATGGTTTGTCAACGCGTTTATATATACATGTATATGGATGTCTGAGCCCTTGCGCATTTCCTTACCATCCTCATCAGCGCAATTGTTATCAGAATCGCCAGGTTCACCATTACCATCATCATTATCATCATCACTATCATCGTTGTCATCATCACCACCACAGTCATTATCATCATCACCACCACACCACCTTCATCATCCTTCTCATCGTCGATGTCGTCTCCCTCGTCAGCATAGCCACCGCCATGACCACCATCATCTTTCTCATCGTCGTCGTCGCCGATGCCGTCGTGTCACCATCTTCAGTCGCCCGCCCGTGTCGTGGACCTGCGTCGGCGTGGTCCGCGCGTCAGCGCGCCACTTTCAGATTCGGGAGCATGTCCTGACGGGCATCTGTTCTCGCGGACTTTTTAGGACGGGTGGGATGTCTGCTTGCTCGAGCCCAGGCGGTCGTCACGCGCGGTTGCCCATCGCTATTGAATTCTCTGTCTAGAAACAGATCTGACGATTCGAGTCCCAATACCGTGAGGTGATCCCGGATCCCCCACCGACTTATCACGCGGTGCCTTGGCATCGTTCGGACGTCTGCATTTCTTCTCGGTGAGGACCATCGAGCAGCATCCTGGATCGTCTGGTAGAAAGCACGCGCGAATCCGAAACATGCACGGGGAATGGACGTCCGCGCGATGGCAAGGTGTGGTCACCACATCGCTTGGATCAGGCCACCGGGCACCAGGCCTCCGCCTGCTAATCATGCAGGCGAGCACCCATATTCCAGTGTTCCCCCCCTATGCCAGTCCCCCCCCCGATCGTTGCCCCTCACCAGATCGTACCTAGCCGATGCTCTCCTGATGACGCAAGGTCTTCCCACCTCCGGGCTGGTCCTTGGAGACGCCTTTGCCCTCCTCAGAAAGACAGCTATCGGGTTGGGAGGATCGGTCTGGGAGGAATGAGATCCTATTATCCATAGTACCGGATGGGTTGAAGGTGCTGGGTGCGTACTCGTACCCTGTATCTTCCCAACCCCTTCCTCCCAGCACGGTAGCTGTCTCTCTCTCTCTCTCTCTCTCTCTCACCTTCGCCGCTCTCCCCCCGTCCATGCGGCGCCTTGCGACAAACACCGAGGCGGAGGCTTTTTCAGCACCCCTTCCTCCCAACACTGTAACTGTCTCTCTCTCTCTCTCTCACCTTCGCCGCTCTTCCCCCGTCCATGCGGCGCCTTGCGGCAAACACCGAGGCGGAGGCTTTTTCAGCACCCCTTCCTCCCAACACTGTAACTGTCTCTCTCTCTCTCTCACCTTCGCCGCTCTTCCCCCGTCCTCTCTCTCTCTCTCACCTTCGCCGCTCTCCCCCCGTCCATGCGGCGCCTTTCGGCAAACACCGAGGCGCCGGCTTTTTCGGCACCCTTCGGCGTCCACGGGCCGCTCTCGGGCTCTGGGGCCGCCGCCAAAACGTTCGCGTCGGCCGCGAGGCAGGGGACGCATGCGCGGGCGGAGAGGTCTAAAAGCGGGGGTGCCGTCGGGGCAAACCGTGCCACCATGCAGGAGGAGGGGCAGGAGGATGGCGCGGCCGAAAGGGGGGGCGGAGGGAGCGAGCCAGAACCACCGCCAGAACAAGCAAGGCGGCCCCAGGGAAGGGATCGAGGGCTCCGGGGAGAACGCCCTTGCGGGTTATTGCGAAGAAAGCGCGACTCTTGGAGGCGTGCCGCCCCTGGGGAGCCCGTCAAGCTCGCCAAAACCAGTTCCTGCCCATCTCCCTGCTCCCTTCTCTGCTCCCTTCTCTGCTCCCGTCTCTGCTCCCTTCTCTGCTCCCTTCTCTGCTCCTCCTCCTCCTCCTCCTCCTCCTCCTCCTTCCTGTCCTCCCCCTCCTCCCATTCCTCCTCCTCCTCCTCCTCTTCCTCCTCCTCCTCCTCCTCCTCATCCTCCTCCTCCTCCTCCTCCTCCTCCTCTGTCCTCCCCCCCTCGACGGGCACGGCCGGGGAAGGAAGCCCCTTCGGGAACGCACGGGAGAGCGAGGCACGGCGAGAAGGAGGGCAGGAGCAGGACAGGGCGGGAGCAGTGCGAGTACAGTCGGATCGAGGTATAAGATCCAGGTTGGTTCGGGAAGGGTGCCCTCGTGTTCTTCGTGCCTGTTGGATGTTCTGGTGCATCCTGGCGGAGGGTACCCTTGGATGCTGTGTGTGTATTCTGGCCAGCGGAGGGTCTCGTGCTCCTAAAGGATGTGCTTCTGCCCTAGGTCTAGCCGTGCCCCCTCCCATCAGGGCTCATTTCGACCTGCTCGGTCCGATTCGATATCGATTCCAGCCAGCCCGATCCGACTTTAGTTCGGCTCTTGGACGATTTGGCATGGCGCGATGCTTGCATGCCGTTGTCGTGCATCCTTGCGCGGCCGGTTCGATTCCGTCCCGATTCCGTACCGATGCAGCCTGATCCAACGCGCGTTCAGCTTCGACTCCATGTTCCGATTCGATGCTGATTGATCTTGCCGCAAGCTCCCCCTTCCCGGGGTCAGAACTTGTCCTCCGACGAGCGCTCCTTCGCTCTGGTCGACTTCGGGCTCGCGGTGCCCGTGGAGCAGTGGGTGAAGGAGCCACGCCATCCAGCTCCCGGGATCCCCCCAGAGGGAGGGGCCCCTCAGCGCCAGGGCTCGGAGTCGGTGGCCCCTCGGGGCTGAGGACGCTTACGCAGCCGAGCCCTCTACGCCGCACCCTGTCTAGGAGAACCCTGGATGTCTCGCGCGGCGCGCAATACAGTCAAGACGCTGAAATAAGGAACTCTTTGGGTTCGGAAGGAGCTCGATGTTCCTTAGGTTCCTCCAGTGCTGTTCCTCTTGCCCTCCTGGGGCACGGAGGCGCTTATAGGGCCAAGAAGGGGCTTCGTTCCTCATTTAGCGTTCTTTCTTTCAGCGGTCCGACTGTAGATGCATCACCTCGTCCACACGTCTGCTCCGTAAGATGTGGGTCGACGCTCGCGAGGCGATGCGCCGACGCAGGTCCGACGTGAGCCCGACGTAAGTCCGACATCATCCGGCGAGAGCCCGACACGCATCCGACGTGACTCCTGCGCAGAGTGGGTCGCAATCCGAGGCGGGAGTTTATCCATATCCACAGCATGGAGGGTCAGTTGTCGCAAAGAAACCAGTTAACTTTTGCCAGGGTGCCCTGGGTTTCTTGGGTTTCGATGGGCCCCCAATAAGATCTTGACGATTTCCGGTAAACAAATGTGGTTTTCATTGAACAAATCGCGGATTTCAGGATTGGGTTTCCTGTGGCCGAGCCCTCACTATAGAGAGGGTTTCAAGTGGCCACGCGAGGCCTCAGGGATTTTCCTCATGCTGTATTCGTGGCCAGTGCCCGGCCTTCGCCGTTGTGACACAGGCTGAAGTCGGGCGTGTCCCTCCACAGGAGGAGTGTCAGAGAGCAGCCAACAAAGATAATATGGGGAAGATGTTCGGGGGATCTTGGATCACTTTCGAGCATGTCTTGATTGTTTTTATCGTTCGCCCAAGAACCGCCTGCAGGGGGACAGGCCCGACCGAAACCCGGGCGCCGCGATCCTGGCAGCGCGCCCCCCCCCCCCCCCCCATGCGATCGGGAATGCTCTGGTCTTGGTCTCGCTCGGACCTGTGCGCTTCGTCTCGGCGGGGATGATCGAGGAGCGTCCTGGACCACCCTGCGAAAAAACCGCGCACGAAGCCGACCAAAAGCACAGGGAATGGACGTCCGAACGCGGGCCAGTGGCGGGTGGCGGGCCGCGCCGCCGCTCTCGGCCCACCGCGCCTCGGCGCGACACGCCGACCACGGCCCCCCGGGTCTCAAGTGGGGCCTGCCGATCTGCCGGAGGAGCAGTCGGCACGATGAAAAAAAATTAGTCTGGGGGCGATTTGTTCGAGTGTTCGCTGGACGTTTTTTGTGCGCGTGGTGGGTCTCTGTGTGCTCTTTCGCCCAAGATCCCCCTGCAGGAGGGCATGCCCGACCCAGCCCCAGCCCCAAGCACTTCACGTCCAGAGCTTTTCCCGGCCCTCCGCCCCCCGCGGAGCGGGGCGGCAATCGATCCGCTCTCGGGGCAGAGGTTGTCACCGGGGCCGCTGCCGCGACACGCCGGGCAAGGGTTCCCATCCGTATCTTCTGACGAACCAACAACACACACCCATACCCATAGGGGGTCGGAGAGGGCTGTGGGTGCGTGTTGTCGGATGGGGGTCCCCGCTCGAAGGGGAGCGTTCCCCAGGGTCCGACAACCCGCACCCATACCCATAGCCAGTCCTCCTCCCAACGACCCCGCTATGGGTATGGGTGTGTGCTGTGCGTTCGTCATCTTCATTGGAGGTGCAGCGGGAGCGAGCAATTCTTGCGCGGGCTTGGAGGCGCGCCTTGACGTGTGGCTCCTTGTCTGTGTGCAGGCCCGGAGGTGAGCCCTGACTGACCTGTTGTTTGACTCCAAGGCTGAAGCCGTGCTCCTGGGGCCAGCAGATCCAGCAGTCTGAGCGCTAAAGAGAAAACAAACAACGCGATTGATGCCTTGGGGATCAAACACACACACACACACACACACACACACACACACACGCACACGCACACGCACACGCACACGCACACGCACACGCACACGCACACGCACACGCACACGCACACGCACACGCACACGCACACGCACACGCACACGCACACGCACACGCACACGCACACGCACACGCACACGCACACGCACACGCACACGCACACGCACACGCACACGCACACGCACACGCACACGCACACACGCACACACACACACACACACATATTTATTTATATATATATATATATACACAAGTGGCACGTGTGTGCCCAGTCTCATACAAAATTATCCGGGCGAAGGAGCCAACCATAAGCAATGGTTCGTAACGCGTTGTGGGTGCCGCTTTCGGTGGGGCTCCCTATGGGGCCACGAAGCGCTGCCTTGGGTGGGGGAACCGCATGCGAACTGCGCCACTGGGGCGGGCCTTCGGTGGAGCTCCCTATGGGGCCACGAAGCGCTGCCCTGGGCGGGGGAACCGCATGCGAACTGCCCCACTGGGGCCTTCAGTGGAGCTCCCTATGGGGCCACGAAGCGCTGCCCTAGGTGGGGGAACCGCATGCGAACTGCGCCTCGGGGGCCTTCGGTGGAGCTCCCTATGGGGCCACGAAGCGCTGCCCAGGGTGGGGAAACGCATGCGAGAGCAGCCACTGGGGCCTTCGGTGGAGCTCCGCATGGGGCTACGAAGCGCTGCCCAGGGTGGGGGAAACGCATGCGAGAGCAGCCACTGGGGCCTCCGCTGGAGCTCCCTATGGGGCCACGAAGCGCTGCCCAGGGTGGGGGAAACGCATGCGAGAGCAACCACTGGGGCCTTCGGTGGAGCTCCCTATGGGGCCACGAAGCGCTGCCCAGGGTGGGGAAAACGCATGCGAGAGCAACCACTGGGGCCTTCGGTGGAGCTCCCTATGGGGCCACGAAGCGCTGCCCAGGGTGGGGGAAACGCATGCGAGAGCAACCACTGGAGCCTTCGGTGGAGCTCCCTAGGGGGCCACGAAACGCTGCCCAGGGTGGGGGAAACGCATGCGAGAGCAACCACTGGGGCCTTCGGTGGGGCACCCTATGGCGCCACGAAGCGCCGCCCAGGGTGGGGGGAAACGCCTGCGAGAGCAACCACTGGGGCCTTCGTGGAGCTCCCTATGGGGCCAGGAATCGCTTTCCAGGAGCTCTGAAACGCATGGGGGCATCATTAAGGGCGTCCAGGGTTCCCGGGCGCACAGATCGGTGGGTCCAGAGGTCCCTAGGGGCCTGGGGATTCCAGGGGGGTCCGATTTCGGGGGAAGGCGGGGGGAGCGCTGGGTAAAATCCTCTCTCTCTTCACTCTCTCTTTCTCTTCTCTCTATATATATATCTCGTCCTCTATCTTCGGCTCTCTCTCTCTCTCTCTCTCTCCTCTCTTTCTTTTTCCAACCATCCTGGTGTTTGGGTCCTCGTGTTGAAGAGACGGTTCACCCGTCGTCTCTCCTCCTTCCTCCTCTCCTCTCCTCTCCTCTCCTCTCCTCCTCTCCTCCCCCTCCTTGCCTCTGCACTCGGCACACCTCTCACGCGTTTCGTAGCCCCATATGGAGCTCCACCGAAGGCCCCAGTGGGGGTGTTCGCATGCGGTTCCCCCACCCAGGGCAGCGCTTCGTGGCCCCCTAGGGAGCTCCACCGAAGGCCCCAGTGGGGGTGTTCGCATGCGGTTCCCCCACCCAGGGCAGCGTTTCGTAGCCCCATAGGGAGCTCCACCGAAGGCCCCAGTGGGGGTGTTCGCATGCGGTTCCCCCACCCTGGGCAGCGTTTCGTGGCCCCATAGGGAGCTCCACCGAAGGCCCCAGTGGTTGCTCTCGCATGCGTTTCCCCCACCCTGGGCAGCGTTTCGTGGCCCCATAGGGAGCTCCACCGAAGGCCCCAGTAGTTGCTCTCGCATGCGTTTCCCCCACCCTGGGCAGCGTTTCGTAGCCCCATAGGGAGCTCCACCGAAGGCCCCAGTGGTTGCTCTCGCATGCGTTTCCCCCACCCTGGGCAGCGCTTCGTAGCCCCATAGGGAGCTCCACCGAAGGCCCCCGTGGTTGCTCTCGCATGCATTTCGCCCACCCTGGGCAGCGCTTCGTAGCTCCATAGGGAGCTCCACCGACGGCCCCAGTGGTTGCACTCGCATGCGTTGCCCCCTGCCCTGGGCAGCGTTTCGTAGCCCCATGCGGAGCTCCACCGAAGGCCCCAGTGGTTGCTCTCGCATGCGTTTCCCCTACCCTGGGCAGCGTTTCGTGGCCCCATAGGGAGCTCCACCGAAGGCCCCAGTGGTTGCTCTCGCATGCGTTTCCCCCACCCTGGGCAGCGTTTCGTAGCCCCAAGGGAGCTCCACCGAAGGCCCCAGTGGTTGCTCTTGCATGCGTTTCTCCCACCCTGGGCAGCGTTTCGTAGCCCCATAGGGAGCTCCACCGAAGGCCCCAGTGGTTGCTCTCGCATGCGTTTCCCCCACCCTGGGCAGCGCTTCGTAGCCCCATAGGGAGCTCCACCGGAGGCCCCCGTGGTTGCTCTCGCATGCGTTCCCCCCGCCCTGGGCAGCGCTTCGTGGCCCCATAATTGGGGCTCCACTGAAGGCCCCAGTGGTTGCTCTCGCATGCGTTTTTTCTTCCGCCCAGCCCTGGGCAGCGCTTCGTAGCCCCATAGGGGGCTCCACCGAAGGCCCCTGTGGTTGCTCTCGCATGCGTTTCCCCCACCGTGGGCAGCGCTTCGTGGCCCCATAGGGGGCTCCGCCGAAGGCCCCAGTGGTTGCTCTCGCATGCGTTTCCCTAACCCCGGGCAGCGTTTCGTAGCCCCATAGGGAGCTCCACCGAAGGCCCCAGCGGTTGCTCTCGCATGCGTTTCCCCCACCCTGGGCAGCGTTGCGTGGCCCCATCGGGAGCTCCACCGAAGGCCCCAGTTGTTGCTCTCGCATGTGTTTCCCTTACTGTACCCTGGGCAGCGTTTCGTAGCCCCCCTAGGGAGCTCCACCGAAGGCCCCAGTGGTTGCTCTCGCATGCGTTTCCCCCACCCCGGGCAGCGTTTCGTAGCCCCATAGGGAGCTCCACCGAAGGCCCCAGCGGTTGCTCTCGCATGCGTTTCCCCCACCCTGGGCAGCGTTTCGTGGCCCCATAGGGAGCTCCACCGAAGGCCCCAGTGGCTGCTCTCGCATGCGTTTCCCCCACCCTCGGCAGCGCTTCGTAGCCCCATAGGAAGCTCCACCGAAGGCCCCAGTGGTTGCTCTCGCATGCGTTTCCCCCACCCTGGGCAGCGTTTCGTGGCCCATAGGGAGCTCCACCGAAGGCTCCAGTGGTTGCTCTCGCATGCGTTTCCCCCACCCTGGGCAGCGTTTCGTGGCCCCATAGGGAGCTCCACCGAAGGCCCCAGTGGTTGCTCTCGCATGAGTTTCCCCCGCCCTGGGCAGCGCTTCGTAGCCCCATAGGGAGCCCCACCGACGGCCCCAGTGGTTGCTCTCGCCTGCGGTTCCTCCACCCTGGGCAGCGTTTCGTAGCCCCATAGGGAGCTCCACCGAAGGCCCCAGTGGCTGCTCTCGCATGCGGTCCCCCCACCCAGGGCAGCGTTTCGTGGCCCCACAGGGCGCCCCACCGAAAGCGGCACCCACAACGCGTTACGAACAATTGTTTATGGTTGGGTCCTTCGCCAAGGTAATGTTCCCTCTCTCTCTCTCTGTACATATCTATATGTATATGTGTATGTGTATATATATATATATATATATATATATATATCACAAGTGCGCAGACCCCCCAGCACCCATTGTTTTTGCATCCGTTGAGGTGCCCATTCGTACTCTCAATGGTCGTTCTCCCTCTCTGCATCCGTGCCTGCTTATTCGCCCTTCATCTGCATCCTTTCTCCGCTGTGTGTTACTATCTGTCATGCTTGTTCCCCCCATGGTCCTCCCTGTCTTGAGCACTCTTTCTTCCTCTTCATGCTTCCCTAGGAGTAGGGAGGAGGAGGAGGAGGAGGAGGAGGAGGAGGAGGAGGAGGAGGAGGAGGAGGATGAGGAGAACGAGGACAGGAGGAGGAGGAGGACGAAATGAGAGGAGGAGGAGGAGGGGGAGTATGAGGAGGAGGAGGAGGAGGAGGAGGAGGAGGAGGAGGAGGAGGAGGAGGAGGGAGGAGGAGGAGGACGAGGGAGGATCACTGTTTGCGTGCTATTTGCCTTCATGCTCCCTTCCCTCATCGGCCTCCCTATCTGGATCCGTCCCTCTTTCTCCTCCCCTCCTTGCTTCCTCCATCCACGTGTGCTTATCCTTCATGCTTCTTCCCCCCATCGTCCTCTCTGTCTCGATCCCTGCGGCATCCTCGACTTCTTCTGCTTCCCTCGCTCTCCTTCCCAATCCCCCTGGTCGCACTCTCTGCTGGCATCTCTCTCTCTCTCTCTCCCTCTCTCTCTGTCGTTCCCTCCTTGCTGTGTCTCTCATCCTCCTACATTCCGTGTGCTATCGCAGCCCCTCCCCCGAACCTGGGGAATTCATTAGGATTTGGGGGATTTCTGGGATGAGTATCACAGAAACTTTATGATTCCACAAGGGGTTCTGGGGATTTGGGGCATTTTTTATTTCCGAGCGAAAATCCACCCTGCAGCCCCCCAGGGCTCCGAATAAAACAAATGCATATGCAAACACAGTGTGCGGCTCCCCTTTACTCCACGAACCTGGTGGTTTCATATGGAGTTAGGGGAATTTGTGGGATGAGCATCCCAGGAACCGTGTGATGTCACAAGTATGTTGGGATTCGTTGGGTTGTCGGCATCCGGGCGAAAATCCATGTTGCAGCCGCCCAGGGCTCCGAATCCCCGAAATCCATGTGAAAACATAGGGTTTGGCTTCCCCTTACCTCGAGAACCTTACGTTCTGACAGGGATGTGTGGGATTCGGAGCCCTGGGGGGCTGAGGCGTCGATTTGGTCGTTGCCGCGTCACTTTGTGTGGTGCGCTTAGGTATTCTTCCCTGGGGGACTGCAGAGTGGATTTTCGCTTGGAGCAAGAAGACCCCTCAAAATCCCCAAGACCCCTGTGGAATCACAGCCACGGAGGATGACGCCCCGATGGGGGCCGGCGGATGACGCGCCACCGGACAGGGGGAGCAAGGGGAGAAAGACGACGACGACGACGACGACGACGACGACGACGACGACGACGACGACGACGACGACGACGACGACGACGACGACGACGGGGGCCGCATGGAAGAAATGTGACTCCCTTTCCGCGCCCCATGCATCTTGCGATGCCCCACCACCGTCCCCACCACCCACCAACATTCCCTACCACGCTCGTCCAACCCCCCACCTTTCCGCATTACCCCCCAAGCATCCTCACCCCCACCATCCCTCACCATCCCCACCACTCCCACCGCCCTTTATCCTCGACTTCACATCTAGTTCATCCATCTACCCGTCGTCCATCGCAAAGCAGCAAATAATAACAAACACCACCGGAAGGCATGATATTCATCACAACTTTTCCCTTCCTTCTTTCTCCCCCAAACATGCGACGCCGTGAAAGAAACCCGACGTCGCGACAACAGAGGACACCAGCTCCGGACCTCATCTTTATGCGGGCCATTTTGGAGTGTCCTAGGCTCCCAGACGGGCCGAACTCACGCATCTTCTGTTCTATCTCTTCCTCTGTTTTTTTGCCACCTCCTTCCCCAACCAGGGTCGGACACAACGGGGGATTGAGAAAGGATGGGGGCGAAATCAGCTGCATGCGGCCGACTTCGACCCCGCAGGCGGGCGTCTTCCGCGACACCGTTGGCGCCTCCGGCACCGAGAGGCGTCTTGAATATCAATTGTGCGCGATGATTATTTAACCCCCGTTTTCCCATCCCCCTCCCACACGTCCGACCCAGGAGGAGGAAGAGGAGGAGGACGAGGACGAGGACGAGGACGAGGAGGAGGAGGAGGAGGACGAGGAGGAGGAGGAGGATCGCTGAGCTGATTCGCTAACCCCCTCCCTTTCTTACCCCGCTCTGGTGTCCAACCCGATCTGCGCCCATCCTCTCGGCAGGGGGGCTGGCAGCACCACGGCGCCGCCGGGGACTGCCGGTACTGGCCGCCGTCGGCTTGGCAGCACTTCCTGCGCGGTGTCCGCGGCTCGGCGTTGCGCGGCCGTGCCCCGCCTCCGCCTCCTCCTTCTCCTCCTCCTCCACCTCTTCTTCTTCATCCTCCTCTTTTTCATCATCCTCCTCCTCCTCCTCCTCCTCCTCCTCCTCCTCTTCCTCCTCCTCCTCCTCCTTCCTCCTCCTCCTCTCGTCCTCCTCCCCCTCCTCTTCCTCCTCCTCCTCCTCCTCCTCCTCGATGAGCCCCGCTGCCGCCGAAACTGGTCAGATCTTTGGGAGGAGGGCGCCGCCATCGGAGCGTGGCGGGGGGGTTCGCTGCGGGCGCTTTCGCCTGCGAGGAAGGGTCGGGACGTCGTGCTTTCTGTTTGTTGTAGATTCCCCAAACAGCGCTTGCACATAGGGAGTCTGGCTGTAAGAACTGAGCTAGCGTGGCGGTTTGGCGGCTATGTTGTCGCCGTCGCCGCCCCGTCGCCGCCCGTCGTTTTGGCCGGTGTGGCAATCTGGCGGCTATGTTGTCGCCGTCGCCGCCCCGTCGCCGCCGCGTGGCCGCTCGTTGTCTGGACGGGCGTAGCGGTCTGGCGGCTATGTTGTCGCCGTCTCCGCCTCGTCGCCGTCTCCTCGCCGCCCGTCGTCTGGGCGGGTGTGGCGGTCCAGCGGCTATATTGTCACCGTCGCCGCCCCGTCGTTGCCTCATCGCGGTCTCGCATAACTGCACCACGATTGTGCCACACGGATTTTTTGAAAGGGTATTAGGATCCCCCCCTGGAATTAACGAATTGCCTCTTCGTTTGGCCATGTATATATATATATATATATATGTGATTCTGCCCTGACGTGCATCCTAAACATGAATCCTTACCATCTGAAGCAGGCCATGGTCGCCCTCCCCCCTCACCCTTAGCAAATAGTCTTATGCGCGCGCACTCTTTTATCACATTGGTTGACATTGCGAGAAAAAAGGAAAGACGAGTTGCACATGCGCGCGCCGTCGCGCGCGCATGCCACAATTCTTCAATAACCCTCGTCGTCGCGAGGATTTCAAGATCGAGCGTTCCGAGCACGAATACAAACACGAGGTCTCGGGCGGGAGCCCCCCGTCCCTATGGGGCCCCCAATACAATATACGGCAGACTGGATCATATCCCATTAGCAGATGGCGTCAGAGAGCAGAAGGAAAGCCGCAGGGACTGACAGAGAACTGCAGAGAGCAGCAGAGACGATGCGAGGCTGTGCATGAGGAGAACAGGCGGGATGGAGATGAGGGGGGGGGAAGGAGGAGGAGGTGGAGGAGGAGGCGGAGAAGGGCACGGATGAAGAGGACGACGAGAAATTGAACAAGGGGGGCGAGCAGGCGGAGGAGACGGAGGACGAGGAAGGCAAGGAGGATACGGAGGAGGCGCAACAGAGGGCGAGACGGGGGGCTTCGACCAGGGGAAGAGGACAGAGCGAAGGGCAACGTAAATAGATTAGCAGTTTGGGTCCTGCCGTCGGGGTAACTTCTTTTCGGTGTACTCAGTCTGATTCTTCTTCGGCCGCTGGAGAGACTCACAGACTGGCTGTTTCGGCGGGCGCTTCCGTCTCGGCCCCCCTGGGGGCCTTGGCGGCCAAGGCTTGTCACAAGAGCGCAGAGTGCAGTGGGGATCGGGGGCTCTGGTCATGATGTTTGGTCATGGCGTCGTGTTTCTGTTCCCCGCGATCGGATGCTGGAGGAGGAGGCGGAGGGGCAGGAGGAGGAGGACGAGGAGGAGGAGGAGGAGGAGGAACAGAAGGGGGAGGACGGGGAGGAGGGGGAGGAGAGGGAGGATGATGGGGGATGAGGGGGAGGGGGAGGAGGAGGGGGAGCAGAGCGAGCAGCAGCAGGTGGAGCAGCATGAGGAGGAGGGGTGAGGGGACCAGAGTAAACCCTCGATGCAACAACGATCCTGGTGCTGCTGTGTCCTGCCGTCCCGAGTCCCATCCTCACAGGGTCCAACAAGTACCCCGTTGCACTACTGGGAGCGCCCCCTTTGAAAGGCGGGCGCACGATGCAATGAAGCATGCAAGCGGCTTCCCTGGAAAGCAACAGGCTACGGAGGGGGCGTTCGTTAAGGACTGTGCCCAGGAGGCTTCAGACCCTGGGGAGTGCTTGTCTGGTGAGGGCGGCGGTGATACCAATGGCCATCCGCGATTTGGGTTCAACCTGCTCCCAGACCCTGGATTCCTTTTCCAAGGGTTCCTGATCCAATGCCCTCACCGTGCAGTCAGGGCGCTGAAATAACGACCAATGAAGGGGCTCAGGTTTTCGAGCCGTTGCTTCGGCTAAGGTCGTGGAGTCGATTCATGGCCAATGCTCGCCTTGGCCAGAAAAGCCCCTCCGTTCCTTCAGTTGCCTTCCTCATGGTAGCACCGAGACTGTACCTCAAGATGAAATGTTCGAAGGTCCGCGCAGATTTCTTGAGTCTGCGCTGAGCCTCCACCGCCGCACCGGGCGCGCTCCGCGTGCCAGGGGCGGCTCGTGTTTTAAGCAGGCGCTCCCCGCAGGGAAAGCGATCTGCATGGACTTACGAGGAGCGGGCCTGAGACGGCAAGGTGTGTTGAAACATCGTTGACGTATCTGCTACGGCATCTCCGCGCGGGCCTTCTTGGTCTGAGCGGGCTCCTCCCTCTTGTCCTCTCGCGCTCTTCTTCTTGTCGCCGTCGTGCCTCAATTAGTTCCCGGTGGACCCCACCGCTTGCCGACCGGCGTCTGACCGTCGTGGACCACTTGGAGCCCGCGGACTTAAACAGTGTTATTCTAGTCCTCCTCTTCTCCCTCTTCCTCCGTCGGTGGCACCCGAGTCTGTCCTCACCCCCGTAACCCAGGGTGGCTAGTGCGATTTCGACCAAGGGCAGGCCCAGAGCCCGGAGTGGCTTCGCCTCTGGCTAGTGGAAGGAGGATCGAGCAAGACAGTGCTACGCCGCATAGAAGTGTTCGGAATTCCAGGCGAAGCGATCGCCCCTTTTTGCATCTGGGCCGCCCTCCCTGTGTGCAGCTGCTGGGCCCTGGTGCGCAAAACCCGATCAAGTCTCAGACGAGAGCCCCACCCGACAGGCGCCGCCCTGCGTCCGCGCAGCTGCTGGAGACGCAGGGGCGCGGCGCCGGGTCGCAGGCACACTCGGAGGGCGACTTCCCGCTGCAGCCGCGTGACCGTTTGAAGACCTTCCCGACGAACGCGCGCGGCGCTAAGGCGATGGCCACACTTCGAAAACGACCCGCTCCACGGTCATACTTGGCGAGGCGGTCTCAAGCGGAGCGCCCCGCCGTCCCTGTCCACACGTCTGGTGGTACGACGAGCAAGAATTTGTTTGGGGCGGAGGTGTGGGAGGAGGAGGAGGAGGAGGAGGAGGAGGAGGAGGAGGAGGAGGAGGAGGGTGAGGGGCAGGAGGAGGAGGAGGAGGAGGTAGAAAAGAGGATTAGGAGATCCGCATATAGTTGTTGTTCAGTGTTGCAGGCCTGGGCGCCCTGAGATGTCCATGTTGGCCCGTGTTCGTGCTTGATGCGTTTTGGGTAGTTCTGATATTTGTCAGCATTGCACATGCCTCATTCACAACCTCCGAGAAACATGGTGAGACCTCCAGGGCGCATTAGCTCCTCATCCTCGGGCGCTGTCCGGCGAGAGCGCTCGCACGCATGTCTGTTCCGGGAAGGGCCCCCCTTTTCTGCCTTCCCTTCTTAAGGTCTCCACCGTGGCCTCAGATGAGGAGCTCTGCGGCGAGTACGAGGCCATGCTCGATCAGGAGGCTGGTGCATAAGACGTCCGCCCGACCGCAGGCCCGCAAGTCTGAGGGGACTACCCGGCAGGAGGGCGGAGTGGAGGGGCCCAGATGGCCTGACAATGACAGGCTCGGGCGCCGGCGGGCAGGAGAAAGAGGAGGAGGAGGAGGAGGAGGAGGAGGAGGAGGAGGAGGAGGAGGAGGCGGGGGAGGGAGGAGGAGGAGGAAGGAGGACGAGGAGGAAGGAGGGAGGCGGGAGGAGGCGGAGGAGGACGAGGAGGAGGAGGGAGGAGAGGAGGCAGGAGGAGGAGAGGCAGGAGGAGGAGCAGGAGAGAGGAGCAGCGGAGAGGAGGGGGAGGAGCGGGAAGAGAAGGGGGAGCGGGAGGAGAAGGAGGGGGGGAGGACGAGAGGGGTAGGGGCAGGCAGAGGCGTTGCCAGCGGTCTTGCAGAGCTGGCTGTCACGACCTGCGCTCGAGAGGGCGGGCGCGCGCGAGGCGCCAGCAGCGGCGGTCGACAAACTCCGACCTCCGACGCCACCGCGGCCGTGTCGCGACGTGGGCCAGGAGACCTCTCGTTCGGGAGGAAAGCATGGGAGCCTGGTGGACCCTCTTGAGTCCGTCCTTAGCGTCGGCTAGCGTCTGGGAGTCGATGAGATAGCGCCGATGTAGCGCCGATGTAGCGTCGATGCAGCGTCAATGCAGCGTCGATTCGTAAGAGCCGACGAGATGGCATGGGAGGCTCCCGTGAGTTGCCACCGAACTCGCGACCCCTCCCGTGGGGTCCGTTGTTCTGGGTCGCCCCGGGGGGGCGAAGATGTCTGCGCCTCTCGCGCCGCGGCACGAGGGCGGTGGAGCTGCGGGCACGAGGGCGCGAAGATCGCCGCGCGTCGCGCATCGCTGGGCGCCGTGCGCTGAGCCAGGCGACCTCACCTCGGAAGGTCCTCAATGTTGAGGCCCCCTCCTGAGCCCTCGGCTGGCAATCAGACATGCCCTTCCACTCCTCGTCCTTCCTCTCCTTCTCATCACCTCCATCATCATCGTCGTCATCATCACCATCACCATCATCATCATCATCATCATCATCATCATCAGCAGCAGCATCATCACCATTAGCAGCATCATATTCAGCAGCATCATCATCACCATCATCACCACCATCAGCATCATCGTCGCCATCATCATCACCATCAGCATCATCGTCGTCCTTATCACCATAATAATCATCATCTTCATCACCATCATCGTCATCATCATCATCATCATCATCATCATCATCATCATCATCATCATCATCATCATCACCATCATCATCATCATCACCATCAGCATCATCATCATCAGCATCATCATCATCACCACCATCAGGGATCCGCATTCCTCCCCGACTACCAGCGGTGGCCGCCGCGGGAGGGTGAGTATTGGCGGGGTCCCAGTCTGTCAACTGGCCCGCGCGAGCCAAACCATTGGGCCCCCACTTTTGTTTGGGGGGGGGCCCTGAAGACCCGTTGCGGTTCGGCTTCTCATCCTCGGTCGTCGTTTTTTTTTTGTCCACGGCCCCTGAGGCCCGAGAGAGGACTCATGCGGAGGCCGAGAGATCGGGGACGAGCCCTTACTGGGCCCCAGAAACGACAGCGTTTTTTCACCGTTTCCGAAAAAGTGTCCTTGAAAGTGGAAACGGCAACAAAAACGGCAACAAAAACGGCTCCAGGATTGGAACTGGAGCGGGAACCCGTAAAAGAACGGCGACGGAACCGGTAAAAAAACGGCGTCGGAACTGTAAGGACGAGCCGGCCGCCCAGAGGTTGTGTTTTCTCTTGCCTGTGCACGGCGCCGCGGGCGTCCGGGGGGAGCCTGCGCTGCCCCGCTGCTGCGGCGCGCCTGCGCGGGGGGGGCCCCTTCGTGGCCGAAGCTGGCAGTGGGCAGGGAAACCACCCTTAGGCCTGCTGTTGTGAGCCTTTTGTTAGCACCAGGGCGTGAGCTGACCAGTGTTTTGGCGGCCTCGCGGGCCGTTCTGCTCTTGCAAAGGTTTCGAGAGAGTGCGCGCAGGCGCTGAGGCGAGAGCCACGTTCTGAAGACCCTTCGCCTTCGGGGCGTGAAGCTGTGGCAAACATTTCCAAAACACATGTGCGCGGCGCTAGGACGAAAACCACAGTTTGAGAACCTTAGCCTTCAATCCGCAAGTCTCTTGCAGCATTTTAAAGCGAATGTGCGCGGCACTAAGGCGAGAGCCACATTTTGAAAACAACCCGCCCTCAATCCGTGAAGCTCTTGCAAATGTTGAAAAATAATGTGCGCGGCGATGGGTCGAGATCCACATTTTGAAAACCATCCGCCCTCCATCATCCGCCCTCCATCTGCGAAGCTGTTGCCAATTTTTAAGCTTCAGGGTCACAAGCGGTGAGGAAGTCTCAGGCGAAACGCCCGGCCCGCTCTAACAGCTTGCTTCGGTGTGTAACAGGGAGGAGCTATTCATAAGGAAAAAATGGAGAAGGATAATCGATGGAGGAGGAGGAGGAAGAGGAGGAGGAGGAGGTAGAGGAAGAGAAGGAGGAGGAGGAGCAGCAGTAGCAGCAGCAGCAGTTGTAGGAACAGATCCATACGCACACGGCGCACGCCACTGGGGTCAGAAGAGATACGTTGGTGCTCGTTTCGATTGCTCCAGCCACCTTCCGTCCCGATGGTAGGGCTTTCCGTTTCATCCTTACTTGTTTTCTTCCCCCGTTATTCCGTTTTCTTTTTTTCTCCTTGGTTTCCGCCGGTGCCAGGTGGACGCCCGCGCGTCGCAGGAATATTTGATGGGTGCGCCGCTGCGGCCGCATTTCGGCCATGCTCCCAGGACAGGCGCCGCGGCTGAGTTCGGCTAGACACAACTGTTTGCACCGGGATCTTTCCCCGTTCCCTCCTCGTCAGCCCCCCTGACGCCCCCACTGCGTGCGAGAGAATGGCCAGCACATGCAACCGCGTGAGGTCTTCGAGACTGCACCCGCGCAGTCCCCGCGAGACCCTCCGCCATCGTTGGGTCTGTTCATTGGCAGATATCTTCCTTTTCCCAATGTATGAATACGTTTATGTATATTTATTTGTTTCTCTCTCTCTCTCTCTCTTTCTCCTTCCGTGTGTGTATGCATGTATATATATATACACCTTATAAACCTGCACATATGCGTACGTAGGAATGTATATATGTAGTTACGTATGTATATATGTATGTATGTGCGCATGTATGTATGCTTGTACGCACGTACGTATATACAAGCAGTTCCGCGATGAGATATAGTTTCCACTGCGGGACGCATCAGAGTTGCGTCGGTGCGTCTCGGCGCTGCTTTGGCACATCTGGGAACCTCAGGCGGGGGCGGATAGGCAACGTCCGCGCACGTATGAAACGTTGGCGTTATCCGAGTGGCCTTCGGCCCATCCCGCCACCGCGCCTGGGTTGTGCATCTGAGGCCCTTGTATATGTACTGGGGTGTCGCGGGGGGCCTCTCGGGGGGATTCTGGAGGCGGTCGCCTCACGCCAGGCCTCTTCGGGCCTCGCGGTGCATTTATTGGGGCCTCTCGGAGGCCTCTTGGGCGCGTCATGGGTCATGGGCGCGTCTTGGGGCCTCTTGGGCCCCTTGACGCGGGGCCTCGTTGGGGCTTCTCGGGGCACCGGTGCCGAATGGTTGGTTCGTGGCCCCCTGCTTGGGCCCCTCTTGGGGCCGTCTTGAGGCCCTCTTGGGCCGTCGTGGGCGCTTTCTGGGCCATTTTGTAGTCGTTTTGGGCCGTTCTGGTGCCCTTTTCGGAGGCGCTTTGGGCGGCTTCGGGGCGGTATCGGGAGCTTGTTGAGCCGCATTGGAGCGTCGGAAAACAGAAAATGTGAGAAGGCAACACTCCTTGAACAACCGCGTTGTGCAATCTACGAGTTTGGCCTCCCGGGGCTGTCGGAAGGCTTCCTGGAGCGCCCTTGGAAACTTCTTGGGCCCTTTAGGCAAGTTTTAAAACAATCTTCGGGCGCCTTGGAACACCCGTGGCCTCGGCAAACCGAACGCGGCGTAGTATGCGAGGGCTTACGGCTTCGGGGACGCGAGTATCGCGCAATGCGCGATGGTTCGTCGCCTCGGGGGCGCAACGGTTGCATAATGTATAACAGTGTGTGGCCCCGGGGACGCGGGCATTGCGCAATGTCGATGGATTGTGGTTCCGGGGGCGTGATTCTCACGCATTGTTATGTGTCCCGCGCCGCCCCCCCCCCCCCCCCCCGGGGAATTTTCAGAGCGCGCGATCCATGCGTGGTAAATGGCCGTTTGGGCCCATCCTTTTTCGCGCACGCGCACGCACAAACACACCGCGCACACACACACACACACACACACACACACACACACACACACAACACACACACCACACACACACACACACACACACACGCACATACACACACACGTATGTGTATATATATATATATATATATCTTTACACGCGTTCACACGTACATACATATATATATATATACACAAGACTGCATTGGCGCTGCGCGCCATGCACCTTGGTCGTTTAAAATTTCGCACGTTAGTGGTGTGCGTATGTGCGTACAATCGCACACACATGCGCCCATGGAAGCATACGACCTATGTACATCTAGCCATACGTATGTATGGGTATGTCGGAGGTGAGGGGGTGAGATCGAAGTGGAACGGAGAGCCCCCCTACCGGGAAATCGATTTCGGTTTCGTGTTCGTGCGTGCCGCGCGTGCGGGCGAGGCGAAGCTGCGTGGGCGGGAGAGAAAAAAAGTCTTCTGTGGCTGAGGCGCGGCCGGACCAAATGATTCCCTTCCGGGCGGCCGGGGCCCCGCGGTGTCCCGCCGGTGTCCCGCTGGTGTCCCGTGTGGCTGAGGCGCGGCCGGACCAAATGTCTCCCTTCCGGGCGGCCGGGGCCCCGCGGTGTCCCGCCGGTGTCCCGCTGGTGTCCCGTGTGGCTGAGGCGCGGCCGGACGAAATGATTCCCTCCCGGGCGGCCGAGGCCCCGCGGTGTC